TCATGTATGAAAACCAATCTTGGCATGATACACATTAGATTATAGGACCTTTGGTGCATGCGATTTATTTGGCAAATAGTACTGTGAAGATACCTTAAACATTGGTGTTCAATACTGCATTAAGTGTTAATACTCTATAACAGTGAATACTGGCTTTATGCCCCTTTTAGGGTCACCAAAGGCAAACAGATCCTGGGTGAGGAACCAGACGAAGTGCGGCTCACAAGGCCCCTAATGATGAACAAAATATTGGATCCACGATTTCCCTTGCTCGGACGTGTGTCACTGGGCCCCCCCACTGGAACCAGGCCTGGGGGTGGGGCTCGACGGCGAGTGCCTGGTGGCCAGGCCTGCACCCATGGAGCCTGGTCAGGCACAGCCTGAACAAGGCACGTGGGTCCCCCCTCCAATGGGCTCACCACCTGTAAGAGGGGCCATAGGGGTCGGGTGCGATGTGAGTTGGGCAGTGGCCAAAGGCGGGGACCTTGGCTGTCCGATCCTCGGCTGCAGAAGCTAGCTCTAGGGACATGGAATGTCACCTCTGTAACGGGGAAGGTGCCTAAGCTGGTGTACAAGGTTGTGAAATTCCGACTAGATATAGTCGGGCTCACCTCGGTGCACGGCTTGGGTTCTGGAACCAGTCTCCTTGTGGGGGGTTGGACCCTCTTCCACTCTGGAGTTGCTTGTTGGGAGAGGGGCCAAGCAGGGATGGGCATACTTATTGCCCCCTGGCTGGGCGCCTGTACATTCGGGTTTACCGCAGTGAACGAGAGGATAGCCTCCCTTCGCCTTCGGGTGGGGGACGGGTCCTGACTGTTGTTTGCGCTTATGCGCCAAGCGGCAGTTCAAAATACCCACCCTTTTTGGAGTCCTTGGAAGGAGTGTTTGAGAGCACTCCTCCTGGGGACTCTCTTGTTTTGCTGGGGGACTTCAATGCTCACGTAGGCTATGACAGTGAGACCTGGAGTGGTGTGATTGGGAGGAACGACCCCCCCGATCTGAACCCGAGCGGTGTTTTGTTATTGGACTTCTGTGCTCGTCAAGGATTGTCCATAATGAATACCATGTTCAGGCATAAGGGTGTCCATATGTGCACTTGGCACCAGGATACCCTAGGCCACAGTTAGATGATCGACTTTGTAGGCTTTGTGGAGGCAGCTGACCGGAGCTGTGGCCATAAGGTGGTCGGTGCCTGTCGCGGTGGCAATCCCCGAACCCGCTGGTGGACAACAGTGCTGAGGGGTGCCTTCAAGCTGAAGAAAGAGTCCTATCAGGCCTTTTTAGCCTGTGGGACTGCAGAAGCAGCTGACAGCTACCGGCAGGCGAAGCGGGATGTGGCTTCGGCGGTCACTGAGGCAAAAACTCGGGTCTGGGAGGAGTTTGGTGAGTTCATGGAAAACGACTTCCGGACAGCTTCGAGGAGATTCTGGTCCACCATCCGGCGGCTCAGGGTGGAAAAGCGGTGCAACATCAACACTGTTTATGGTGGGGATGGGGTGCTGCTGACCTGAACTCGGGACATTTTGGGTCGGTGGAGGGAGTACTTCGAAGACCTCCTCAATCCCACTGACACGCCTTCCAATGCGGAAGCAGAGTATGGGGACTTGGGGGTGGACTCCCCTATCTCTGCGGTGGAGGTTGCTGAGGTGGTTAAAAAGCTCCTCAGTGGCCGGGCCCCGGGGGTGGATGAGATCCGCCCAGAGTTCCTTAAGGCTCTGGATGTTGTGGGGCTGTCCTCGTTGACACGCATCTGCAGCATCGCATGGACATCGGGGGCAGTGCCTCTGGACTGGCAGATCGGGGTGGTGGTCCCCCGCTTTAAGAAGGGGGACCGGAGGGTGTGCTCCAACTATAGGGGGATCACACTCCTCAGCCTCCCTGGTAAGGTCTATTCAGGGGTTTTGGAGAGGAGGGTCCGCCGGATTGTCGAACCTTGGATTCAGGAGGAGCAGTGTGGTTTTTGCCCTGGCCGTGGAACAGCTCTATACTCTCTGCAGGGTTTTGGAGGGTTCATGGGAGTTTTTCCAACCAGTCTACATGTGTTTTGTGGACTTGGAGAAGGCATTCGACCGTGTCCCTCGGGGAGTCCTGTGGGGGGTGCTCCGGGAGTATGGGGTGCCGGGCTTCCTTTTAAGGGCTGTTCGGTGCCTGTATGACCGGTGCCAGAGCTTGGTCCGCATGGGTGGCAATAAGTCGGACTCGTTTCCAGTGAGGGTTGGTCTCAGTCAGGGCTGCCCTTTGTCACCAATTCTGTTCATAGTTTTTATGGACAGAATTTCTAGGCACAGCCAGGGCGTTGAGGGTGTCCGGTTTGGTGACCTCAGGATTAGGTCTCTGCTTTTTGCAGATGATGTGGTTCTGTTGGCAGAGTGTGAAGCGGCTGGGATGAAAATCAGCACCTCCAAATCCGAGACCATGGTCCTCAGCCAGAAAATGGTAGAATGCTCTCTCCGGGTCGGGGATGGGGTCCTCCCCCAAGTGGAAATGTTTAAGTGTCTCAGGGTTTTGTTCAAGAGAGAGGGAATGATGGAACTGGAGATCAATAGGCGGATCGGTGCGCGACAGCAGTGATGCGGGCGCTGCATCGGTCTGTCATAGTGAAGAAAGAGCTGAGCCAAAAGGCAAAGCTCTCGATTTACCAGTCGATCTACGTTCCTACCCTCACCTATAGTCACGAGCTGTGGGTAGTGACCGAAAGAACGAGATTGCGAGTGCAAGCGGCCGAAATGAGTTTCCTCCGCAGGGTGGCTGGGCTCTTCCTTAGAGATAGGGTGAGGAGCTTGGTCATTCGGGAGGGACTCAGTAGAGCCACTGCTCCTCCGCATGATGAGGTGACTTGGGCGTCTGGCCAGGATGCCTCCTGGACACCTCCCTGGTGAGGTGTTCCGGGCCTGTCCCACTGGGAGGAGGCCCGGGGAAGACCAAGGGACTATGTCTCTCGGCTGGCCTGGGAACGCCTCGGGATTCCCTCGGAGGAGCTGGATGAAGTGGCCGGGGAGAGGGAAGTCTGGGTTTCCCTGCTGAGACTGCTGCCCCCGCAACCCGGCCTCGGATCCGGTGGAAGATAATGGATGGATGGATATTCTATAACAGTGTTTTTCAACCCTGGGGTGGCGACCCCATGTGGGGAGAAAAATTGTGTTAAAATTTTAAACGAGGTGGAATAGTACGTTATGTGTTTGTAGTAGCCTAATTAAATATTTTTTGTTATATATTTTTTCCATCTGTATTTACTAGCTTTAAAAATGAATATACAAGGTATAACAAAGTAAAAAGAGCACTTGTATCGGAATCTGTATTGGTATCGGCAGTTGTGTATCGGAATCGGATCAGAACTGAAAGAAATGTGGATCGGCCTATATCTAATAAATATAAAGGAGTTCAAATAAAATTATCGCAATCACCTTCAGCCTTGTAAAGACAAGCTCGCCTAACTGTACATGTGATCAGAAAAAATTAAATGAGACTTTGTGCACTAATCTGGCTACTCTGTATTTGCAACACGTTACGTATAACAAACATGATCAAAAACTAATTCTAGAAAAAAAAAAATGTCTATGGGGTCGGCAAAAATTGGTGATGTCAAAATGGGGTCACAGACCAAAAAAGGTTGGGAACCACTGCTCTATCACTGCTCTTCCACCCCATTTTCGCTCATCTCTCTCATTCAGGCTTGCAGGTTGGTGCGTCTTTCTCCAGTGTCCATCAGTAAGACCTTTCTCTTCATTCCCATTCTATACTAGAAAGAAAGGGAAGGAAAGACAAGGTTTGACATTTTTTTCTTATGTGCAGTGCAAGCCTCAAACTGGCTGATTTCAAATTCCAAACCGGGTCATTTTTAGAGCAAATACTTTGGATCAGACCATTTCTACTAATTGAGTGGGTCAAAGTATTTTTTAATATTTTGTGATCAAAATTATTTTGAGTATTAGTTTAAATAACATAGAAATAAATATGAAAGCATTATGTTCCAATAATAAACATTTTGAAAGTCTAGGTGTGCTTTTAATCGGTGGGGTGGGGTTCTACTTCTGTGATCATAAGGGTGTGGGTTCAAATCCCACCAAAAGCAGAGTGATTTCACTGATGGGTTCCTGAGTAAGGCCTGTAACCCCAATATCTCTAGGGATGGCTTAACTCTGATCATCAACTGTATGTTGATTTAACTGCCTGCTAAATAAGTAAGAGAATTAAGGAGTGTGTACTGATCGCACTGCATTGCTGCAACCACCACACGACAAACCACCTCAAAGATGAGAAACTAAGTGTAGCCACGCGCCAGATGATACCTCAGCACCACACTAGTTCAAAAGGAATGGAACAGTGTGAATTTTTCCCCAGTGTCTGGAGTCCCAATCCTGCCACTAACCCCCAAATTTTCCCAGTACTTTGGACTACCAGCTTGCAGCACAAAGCAAATGCAGATTAAGGGCCTTGCTCCAGGGCCCAACTGAGTAGGATCACTCCTGGCATTCAAGGGATTCAAACTAGCAACCTTCTGATTGCTGACACAGATCCCTAGCCTCAGAACCACCACTCCACAACAAGATCATCACTGGTAAATTACACACTGAAACAAAGTACTGTTTAACTTCCTCCATGGTAAAAAAAAAAAGCATGGAATGATGTGAGAACAGACCATTTTATTTACCCACGGGTTAGATATGGGGTTACATCATGTCTGTCAAGCTGATTTATAAAAGTGAAGAAGCACTCTGACAGCTGTGTATCGATCTTCATTTATACCGAGTTTTCTTTTTGGGATAAAAAGATGGACAAAAAGTCAAAAGGTTTTAAAAAAAAAAAATAAAAAAATTGAGCTCT